TGTGAAACGATGAGGTTATGGTAGGTGGTCCCTCCTAGCTCTACATTGATGTGCCTAAGAACTCCACATAGTGGAGGTCCAGTGCCACGAGGCCCCATACAACATTCAGGAATATATTGAGCAAGAGGCGGTCTCCATTGGACAGGATGGTGAAGAAGGTTTTCCTACTGGGAAGCTTCCGAGGTCTTCAAGTAAAGAGTAATAAACATTCAAGGACAAGGTCTAAGACATAGGGAACATGGTTTGTAATGTGAGCAGAAAGGTAGAAGGTAAGGGAAGCCTGGGGAAAAGAAGACTTGGGAGTGGGAGTGGGGACATGACAAATGTTTGGAGCTTTTGGAAGGCTGTCATGTGGAAGAAGGATTATTAGCCTTGCTCTGCTTGGCCCTAGAAAGCTGGGATGAGAGAAATGAGGAGATGCTATAAAGTGGAAGGTTTAAGTCTGCAGCAAAGGAGAAAACATCTCAACCATTGGAGCTGTCTACAATTAGGGTATGAGAGGTCTGCATGCACAATGTGTCCTGTCAGGGATTTTGTTGAGGGGATTCCTGTTTGGGTAGGGATGGCTCTGGTGACCTCTGAGGTTGAGATTCTGTAATTCTTCATCATTATGTGTGTGCACGCATACATACAGGTCTATACATATCTATGCACATACATATGTATATATATATATATATTTGGACAAACATATATGCACACATATGTGCACATGTACCCAGAGTCAGGAAGACCTGAGTTCAAATCCAGCCTCTGACACTTAGTAATTGTGGTCCTGGACAAGTCACTTGACTTTTGTCTGCCTCAGTTTTCTCATCTGTAAAATGGGGATAACAACAGCACTTATCTCCCAGGGTTGTTGTGAAGATCAATGAGATCATATTTGTGAAGAGCTTTGCAAACTTTAAGCACTATATAAATGCTAGTTATTATTATTGTTGTTATTATTATTATCTCCTATACACAAGAGATACATCACACATATGATGGAAACTTATGGCTGACAGGAGTTCCCCACCTTGGCTATAATTGTGTTCCCTAATACAATATCACAGCCAGCTATCTTCGTGACTACATGGTGCCTTTCACCTAGTGGTCTAATTGAATAAATAATTAGAGAGTTTTTACTACGTGCCTGTTCCTTTGATAGATGATATCATACAATTTAGCAATCTTCGTGCAATTATTAAGCACCTACTATGTGCCAGGTACTATGCTAAGCATTAGAGTCACAAAGCCAAAAACGAAATAATCTCTGCCTTCAAAGGACTTGCATTCTAGTAGAGGAGGCAAATAGATATATTTGGGTGACATAGAAAATAAATGCAATGAAATCTAGAGTCAGAAGAAGGTGCTAGCAGCTGGGGGTGGAGTTTGGAAAGATTTTGTGTAAGAGGTGGTGCTTGAGCTCACTTCTAAAGTCAAGGCAAGAAGCATTTATTAAGCACTTACTGTGTGCCAGGCACTGTACTAAGCATTGGAGATATAAATACAAGAAGAAGGACAGTCCCTGCCCTTAAGGAACTTACATTTTAATGGGGAAATAAAATCCATGAAAGGGGTTGGCTATGGCTTAGGGGGATGGCTGGGAGAGTCTGGAGATTCGGGAGCAGAGTTGGGACAGAAGGGAAGGAGGGAGAATGTCTGACCTGGGCACTTCATCAAAATGGAGGTTTTCTCACCTGTAAAATGAGGGGGCTGGACCAGAAGACCTATGAAGTCCCACCTCAATCTAAATCTGTCATTCCTGTGAGGTGGGCACTATGGGTATTATTATACCTATAAAGATGGGACAAAATGGGTTCAGGGAAATGAAGCCGTTTGTCTGTGGTCACCCAACATGTAAGTTTAAGGAGCAGGATTTTCTCATCTATAAAATGAGGGGGTTGACCGTCAGATGACCTCTGAGGTCCCTTCCAGCTCTAAATCTATTATGTATGACATAGACAAGAGCTAAAATACTTGGACAGGCACAGATGGGCTGCGATCTGCAACCCATCTCTGTAGATCTGTAGAAGGGAATCCCTACATCGATGAGATAGACCATTGGAGTCTTGCAGAATAGCTCCCAGCACCTAGCCCAGTGCATTTTATGCGCATAGTAGGCCCTTCATCAACACTGGCTACCTGGCACCGAATGGAGGCAAGACAAAAGAGTGAAGTCTTCTTCTCTAACAAAGCCATGGGAAGCTCTAATCTTGATTACAGTCTCTGTGAAGCCCTGTGGAGTTGGAAATAGACAGGACTTCTAAGATGCAAACACTGGGCCAAACAAACTGTGATCATCTCTGTGATAATAACTGCCATTGATAAATATTTCTCCCCAGCAGCTCCAAAGTGCAACGGATGCTTGTGCCAACGGGTAATCAGATTCTCTCTGGGAGGTGACAAGACAGATGGGGCTCAGATTATTTTTTGTGGGTCTACTTTAAAAATAAAGATATCATTTTCCTGATGTACCTAAGTCCATACTCATAGAACAGGCTTGTAGAACTGGAAGAAGTCATGGAATCTGACCCCTTCACCTTACCTGAAGGAGAAGCTGAGGCCTATGCAGGTCAAGTGACTTTCCCAAGGTTACCACAACCCTAAAATGTAAGTGCTGTTATCCCCATTTTACAGATGAGGAAACTGAGGCAGATAAAAGTCAAATGACTTATCTAAGATCACAGTTACTAAGTGTCAGAGACTGCCTCTAAATTCCAAGATCCCACTTCCCCACCTGTCTCTTTAATTAGCTCAATTAGTAATGAGTAATGGCACTGAGTAGCATAGCGGACCAAATGCTTGCTTTGGAGTCAGCAAGACCAGAGTTCAAATGCTGCACAGACCCTTACTTACTGACTGAATGATCCTGGGCCTGTTATTTAACTTTTCTCAGCCTCAGTTTCCTCACTTGTAAAATGAGGTGCTTGTGAGGACCCAGTGAGATTACATGTGAAAGGCTTTGGAAACTTCAAAGATTTATATAAATTTTTTCTTTATTATTATTATTATTATTATTATCATTATCTACCCACATGGCAAAAATATTCGGAGTTCTTTGCTCTCTTCCTTACAAATCAACATCATCTTCACATCCTATCTCTTTCCTGCCCAGCATAAAGGGCAATGATGAGAGTTTGCCCATGTCAGCTATCCCAGGCCTTGATGCTGCCCCAGCCACCTCAGTGAATCCCAGTGATTAGGCAGAGGTAGTGCACTGGGATCTTGAAACTTGGAAGCAAAGGACCAGGGTTCAAATCCACTGGTTCAACTACTTACTGCCTTTGGGACCTCGTGGACATCATTAGCTGTCTCCTGCCTCTGTCTTTTCCTCTGCAGATAAAAGAGGGTTGGGTTAGGCAGTCTTCAAGGTTCCTTCCTGCTCTAAATCAGTAGCCCATAAAAATCCTATTTGCCATTTGGCTGTAAGCCAACGAAGCTGGATATTGGCTCTCATGGGAGCCCATACACAGGACACCTGGAAGAGAATGTCAAAGAGGAGGCAGAGAATATTAGCTGGTGTCGGGGAATAGAGGTGTAGTCCTGGCCTCATCATTAATCAGCAACGTGGCCTTGGGCAAGCTACTTCTCCTTCTTTGGCCTCAGTTTGTGTATCTGTAAAATGAGAGAGTTGGAAAAGATGCTTTCCAAGGGCCTCTTGGTTCTTATGATCCCAGCCACACTGGCACAATCTAGTCGGTAGTGTGTGAAATTGTCTCTGTTGCCTGATTGGTGAAAATTCTAATTTATCATATGTAAAATATGATATAGTCTAATACGTAATTAACTAACATGTATTATATTACTATAACATATAATATAATTACAATATATAGCTATATATACAATTATAATATAATATACATTAGACTATATTATATACTAGAATTCATATCAATTGATAATATATGTATGCATATGTATATCAGTTCTAATTCTAATGTAGGCATAAATATATCCTATTGATAATATATACACATAAGTGTTTATATTCCAATCATTTTCAAGGCAACTTGGAGTCACTGTGTAGATTTCAACCCATCCATAACTTAGAAGATTCATCTTAGAGATTTGCCTAAAGCTTAGGGAAGGTGCTTGCTCATGGTCACAGGGCTATGAAGTATCGAAAGGAAGATTTAAAGCCTTGTCTTCCTCTCTCTTAAGACTAGCACTCACTGACTCAATGGGCAAGTGTTCTTTAAGTGCCTGGCAAAGAATAGGCATTAAAGAAATGCTAACTGACTGACTGATTGACTGCTCTGTGCCAGGTGCTCTTCGAGGTACTAGAGATACAAAGACAAAAGCCAGATGAACAGTTCTTACCCTCAAGGAGCTTCCATTCTATCCATTATTCCATACTATCTTTTAGAAGGGACAAATGACCTTCCAGCATTCCTGAAGTGGGAAGATCTTGGCAGCTACCTAGTCTTACCCACAGCTAGACACTCCACAGGGAGGGGAAATACACTGCCTCTAGTGCTTTCCATTTTGGGATAACTCATTTGGGTAATTTCCCTCCTTACACTAAGCCTAAACTTGTCACAGACTCCCCTGGATCACTCCCTGTTATGCCCTCCAGGGCCAAGCAGAGCAAATGTTATTCCTCTGCCATAGAATAGCTTCAAAGGTAGCCCTCTAGTACTGCCTGAGTTGTACTCTTCTCTCCAGGCTACACCTCCCTGTTTTCTTTGACTGAGTATCCTACGGCATGATCTGGAAGCCCTTCACTCTCTGGCTTATTAATATACCACTTAAAATGCCCAGCACTGACCATGGAATTTCTGATGTTGTCTATAGTGGGGCTCCCTTACAGCTCCCCCTGATCCCATTCCCTTTTTTGGCAGCCTTTCTCTCTCACTCTTGACTCTTACGAAACCAGCCGTGAGTCAGGATCATCCATCACCATATGCAATACTGAGAAAGGGGATGACTTCTCAGAAGAATGCCAGCAGATGGGAAAGAGGCCGCCTTGGCCTGGGAATGGGGCTCATCTCTGTTCACAAACACAGGAGAGATCAGGGGACTCTGGTGGAAGAAAGTCTCTGGAATGATCTGAGAGCAAAGGGACAAGGCAGTTATTTCCACACAGGTCCACCAGGAGATCTAAGACCTGAAGCAGCTTCTGTCTTTTCTGAAAGAAAGAAGAATGGCTTGGAAGGTTAGTTCATCCCAGAGGTCTGTCTGCATGCAGAACTAGGGACTGTTGCCAAGGCTCCCCTAGGTGGGGGAGCTGGTTGGGGAGAGGGGATGGAACCACCCCTCCCCACCCCTGGGGAAATGAAGGAATGAATAGATGAAAAAAAAAACATTTACTAATTGCTTATTATGTGCCAGGCTGTGTGTTAACAAATGTAAGGGTGGGGTTGACTGGATTACTCATCTCCATCCCAATTAAAGTAAATGATAAAATGCTTGGTCAATCATAGGTTTTAAATGTCAAACTGTAATGACAATCATATTTGAATAGGCTAAGGAAATTTTGGACTGCTCTAAGCCTCATTTAAAAGGATCAAGCTGGGGAACCAGAGTCATTCAAAAGCTTAAGACAAGGTGGCTTTCTAGTACATCCCCTCCCCCCCACCCCATGGTAGAACCACCTTGGGGGGGATTGGAAATGAGCCTAGAAGGAATGACCTTGACTTTGACTGGCCCAGGTCTCTTCTCCCCTCCTTTCTTCTTCTCTTTGGCCTGAGGAGGACCTGTTGAGCTTTAAAGGGTCTGGAGTGTGTTGGACCACCTATCTTCCCAGGAAAGTTCACCTAGGAATGAAATGAGAGTAACAGGTATTGGAATGGCTGCGAGGCAGTTGAGATCCAGTTGTCTGACCAAGCTTACCCCTTCTGAGGATAGAGCATCAGGCCTGGAGTCAGGAAGACCTGAATTCAAATTCAGCCTCAGACACTTACTAGCTGTGTGACCCTGAACTTAACCCGTTTCCCTCAGTTTCCTCATCTGTAAAATTATCTGGAGAGAGAAATGGCAAACCACTCCAGTATCTCTGACAAGAAAACCCCAAATGAGGTCACAGAGAGTCAGATACAACTAAACAACGACAAATCCTGGATACTAATCAGGGGTGTGATGATAAGTGTTTAACAACTAGGTACCTACCCCTGCTGCTGAAATTTGTTCTATCCGAGTCCCTTGTAGCTTTTACCTACACTACTCTGAGATTTGGTCTACATAACTCCTCCTGGATTTGGGTCCATTGGTTGATCAAGCAATAAGTACTTATTAGTCACATACTCTGTGCCAGGCACTGGGTTAGGTACTGGGGGAATACAAAGACGAATGTGAATGTGCCTGCCCTTAAAGAGTTTACATTCTGTTAGGGGAAACAACTTTACAGAGATAAGTTTATACAAAATATTCACAAAATAAATACAAAAAAATTTTTTTGTTTTTGGTGGGAAGCAATAGCTGCTAGGAGATGGTGGGGGAGGAGGGATCGCTTCAGAAAGGCCTTGGGTGGAAGATGACATTTAAACTGAGCTTAGAAGTAAGCTAGGAATCCTCAAATGGAAAAAAGAGAAGGGAGGGCACTGCAGGGAAAGGCTGTGTGAAGACATAATGGGAGGAGATGTAGAAACCAGCAAGGCCAGGCTTGGCTCAAAGGTACTATGTGAAAGGAAGGGAGGGAGGGAGGAAGGAAGGAAGGAAGGAAGAAAGGAAGGAAGGAAGGAAGGAAGGAAGGAAGGAAGGAAGGAAGGAAG